ACCCTCTTCTCATGCTGGGTGGGCAGCCTGCAGCACCTGCCAAATCAGATGAGGGCCTACCGAGCTCCACTGCAGGGGCTAGGTAGTTCAGCTCCAGCAAGATCAGGCCTTCGACTGATGCTGCTGGTTGAGTCAAACTGCTCGGCCCCTCTTCTCTTCTCAAGCCAGGTGGACAGCCAGCATCACTTGTGGAATCAAGGGCCCAATCCTGCTGCAGCCAAACTGTCTGGCCCCTCTTCTCAGGTTGAGTGGACCCTCAAACGACTCTGCAGGTGCTGCTGACTACGATCAGGCCCTGGCTGCAGCTTGAGCAGAGCGGCCAGGCAATTTGGCTCATCCAATAGTGCCTGCAGCCTCCTGCAGCAAGGGAGTTAATAGAGCAGCCACAGATTTTTGCTCCCTTCTCCACTGCAGCTGCCTGCATTTTCCCTGTGAACATTTTTAAGTATTGGTATTTTTAAGATCTTGTTTTCTTCATTCTATTTTTCAAAAACCAGCTGTGCATCTTGAGGCATGTGGTATGCAAGGAAATACAGTACATCATTTCTCAAATGTACAGTATTCTGAGCATAGGAAAAGGAACGAAGACAAGAGACATGTAGTAAAGGAGGAAGGAGACCAGTTATTGTTCCCTGAATGCAAAAGAACATTTCTCCTTCAGCCTTCTCTACAGCTGATAAGTGCAGAGTGCTGGTCAGGGATGAAACAGTTCAAGTCATTTTTGTTTTCTCCTAATCTTAGGTCACCCATATATCAGTCTGCACTCGAATATAAACTGAAACAGCTGTCAGTTACAAAGATTACTGATGATGAAACCGTGTAATTACAGCAACTAATCATTACCAAGGCACAAGTAAACTATAAGTTCTACCCTCTTTTTCCTAGGGGTATGGTCACCTCTGAGGAGGACGGGGTGGTAGACAAAGGATTATACAAGCTCTTCACATAAAACATATATATATATATATGGAGATGCTAGAACAGATCATAAGTTTACCACACTTCTTTTACAATCTGAATGCTATTGTTTTTTCTTTTCTTCCCACTGAAGCCATTACTGTTAAGTAGGACATCTATTCCTCCACTGCTGGATTCCCACTACATCTTTTTTCTGCTGAAATACTTATGACCATCTAAGAGAGATTTTCTTTTGACAGATACTTCAGCTTGAAAATGCCATGTAAAAGAAATTGTTCTGTACTCTAGGCAGTTGTAGTCCAATTATGCTTCCCATATTAACAGCTTTATTTTTGTGAAATATCTTTATTGCTAGAGTGTCTTTATTGCTAGCGTCCCAAAACATAGTCACCAATTCTTCATTATAAATCCAGATTTGTGTCAATGCTATTAAAACTCTGCACAGTTAATAAAAAAAAATTGCAAGTAGTCAGAAGTTAAGATTTCCATAGCAGTGTTAGCTACTGTGTTTAATGGTACTATTGGTCATAAAATGTAATATATTGAGATGCACATTTCACCAGAAAAAAAAAGAATTGGATAAGATGAAGTCAGGTTAATACTGCTAATATACATTTAACTACGAAACTGCCTGAACATTTATGATTTTAACTGTGCAACTGTGTCAATACATTTAAATGTTGGCATTTGGCCCATGCCATTTATTTAATTTTTCTGTATTTCATTTCCTCTTTTTGTAGTGTTCATTTTAAAGAAAAAGGACATAAATGGTCTGATATAGGCTTTAAAATGCACAGCTCACAGATCGATGTGAGAGCTAAGACAGCTTTCCAGCTTTTTTCTGCAATGCAGGATTCAATTAGGCAAGAGCACATGTGAGGTCTTTGCAATAAAAGGAGATGGACATTTCTTATTTAAAAGGTTGCAATTTACCTTACAAAGCAAACATTTGATACTGGGTTTTCATAACTACAAAATGTCTTGTAGAAGAAACCAGCCTCTACTACATATGGACTTACATACTGCATTTGCACAAATTCAGAATAACTCTGAATTTAAGACGACCTCACAACAATTAGATGCTAGACATGGAAAATGTGTATTTACATTTGTTATCATTTTCCATTTCTAGAATCTAATTATTGGAGGGTCATCTTAAATTCATCCCTCCCATGGCTGCAGCAGGGAAATGGCTGCAGGAGGGCAGGTGGTAAGTAGGGCAAGCAGAGGGAGAGTCAAATGCACAACCTAAGTCTATTCCATCTCGGAGGAAAGGCAGCAAGAGGGCACAGCCCCCCTGGCTCTCCAGGGACCTAGCAGACCTCCTGAGGCTAAAAAGAAAGGATACAAAGGATGGAGGATGGGAGTCACCTCCAAGGAGGATTATTCTGCACTGGTCTGGTCCTGTAGGGAGCAGACCAGGAAAGCCAAGGCTGCAACTGAACTCCAACTAGCTTTGAGCATCAAGGACAATAAAAAGTCCTTTTTCAGATATGTGGGGAGCCGGAGGAAAAGCAGGGGCTACTTTATGTTAATTTGCTCAGCAAGCAGCTTCTCTGATGTCAACAGACGTTTCCAGTGCTTAGTCCTTCTGGATATCAGACCATATATTTTATCTGCCTAAGTAAAGGGTTTGAGCGACATCAGAGAGAATTTCAAAATTGTGGTGCCTATCTTCAAGAAAGGGAGGAAAGTGGATCTGGCAAACTACAGGCCCATCATCCTGACCTCTATCCTGGGGAAGGTCTTAGAAAAGTTTATTAAAGAGGCCGTCCTTAATGGACTGGCCGATGCCAACATCTTAAGGGATAGCCAGCACGGGTTTGTTGCGGGTAGGTCTTGCTTGACCAATCTCATTTCCTTCTACGACCAGGTGACCTATCACCTGGACAAGGGAGAAGAGATTGATGTCATATATCTTGACTTCAAAAAAGCCTTCGATCTGGTGTCCCATGATCGCCTCTTGGAGAAACTGGCCAATTGTCGCCTTGGGTCCTCCACGATCCACTGGCTGGAAAATTGGCTCCGGGGTCGGACCCAGAGGGTAGTAATCGATGGAAGTCACTCATCGTGGTGTCCTGTGACCAGTGGGGTCCCCCAAGGCTCTGTCCTTGGACCCATACTGTTCAACATCTTCATTAATGATGTGGACACTGGAGTCAGAAGCGATCAGAACTGGCCAAGTTCGCCGATGACACCAACCTTTGGGGCAAAGCATCCACACCAGAAGACAGGCGGGTGATCCAGGCTGACCTGGACAGGCTCAGCAAGTGGGCGGACGAGAATCTGATGGTGTTCAACGCCAATAAATGCAAGGTGCTCCACCTTGGGGAAAAAAACCCGCAGCATCCTTATAGACTCGGCAGTGCTATGTTGGCTAGCACTATGGAAGAAAGAGACTTGGGGGTCATCATTGACCACAAGATGAACATGAGCCTGCAATGCGATGCGGCGGCTAGTAAAGCGACCAAAACGCTGGCTTGCATCCATAGATGCTTCTCAAGCAAATCCCGGGACGTCATTCTCCCCCTGTACTCGGCCTTAGTGAGGCCGCAGCTGGAGTACTGTGTCCAGTTTTGGGCTCCACAATTCAAAAAGGATGTGGAGAAGCTTGAGAGAGTCCAGAGAAGAGCCACGCGCATGATCAGAGGTCAGGGAAGCAGACCCTACGATGACAGGCTGAGAGCCCTGGGGCTCTTTAGCCTGAAAAAGCGCAGGCTCAGGGGTGATCTGATGGCCACCTACAAGTTTATCAGGGGTGACCACCAGCATCTGGGGGAACGTTTGTTCACCAGAGCGCCCCAAGGGATGACGAGGTCGAATGGTCACAAACTACTTCAAGACCGTTTCAGGCTGGACATAAGGAAGAACTTCTTTACTGTCCGAGCCCCCAAGGTCTGGAACAGCCTGCCACCGGAGGTGGTTCAAGCGCCTTCATTGAACACCTTCAAGATGAAACTGGATGCTTATCTTGCTGGGATCCTATGACCCCAGCTGACTTCCTGCCCTTTGGGCGGGGGGCTGGACTCGATGATCTTCCGTGGTCCCTTCCAGCCCTGATGTCTATGAAATCTATGAAATGGCCTGACCCCTGCCCCCACACCTCCCCACATCACTTGCTCTCCCATGTTGCCCATCCCCCCCATGGCCCTGCACCCCTGCCACTTTTCCCCCACCTGCCTGCCCTGCCTCAGCACCTGGGCCTTCTAGCACCTCCCCCCACTTGTTTCCCCCTTCCACTCGCCCCCTCTCCTGCCCCCTCCACCTGCCTGAGTCCCCTGATGCCAGCCCCTCCTGGCACCTACCCCCTCCAAGTTGCCTTCCATCCTCCCTGCTCCCTCCCATGCCATCACTGTCACATGCCTTCCCCTTCCATCCCTGGCTCTGGCTAGGGCCCTGCTCTGGCCTGGGGCAGGGGGCATGAAGCCATGCTCTCTGCTCTGGCTGCCTCAACCAGAGTCAGAGCTGCAACAGGAAGTTAAATGGAGGCAGACAGACATGTCCAGAAATCTTGTTAAAGAAGTTTCTCTCCTGACACAGAACGCAGACTAGCTCATACTCTTGAATTCCTGTATCTTTTCTCATAATCACATAATGCATTTTCACACGTATACTGGCTGATTCTACAAGATAATGTGTTCACTCACAACAGAATATCTGAGTGCACGACAGTCCCAAGCCCATATTGTACCTACAAAATACTGATGAAGACTTTTACCTAAAAGATCCTCCCTGGTATTCTTCAGGTAACAATTTTCCATCTCTTGCTTTCTTTGCTAAAGCCTAAGAAAATGAAAATAGAAAACAACAGTTCATTCAAAATGTTAGAATAGAGTTGTAGCAATGTAACTGGTGCAATAAAAGATACCATCTACCCAAATCCTTGCCTCATTTTATAAGAAGCTATTTCATAACCTGCATAGTGGAACTCTGATTTGGTTACAATAGTTGTGTTAATTTCAATGGGATTAAAGGGGCCTAGCGAGGAAAGGGTATTACTATAATGCTGTCACTGCACAACATTAAGCAGTTAAATACGGTTCAGAGTTCCAAGACCAGAGACCTCAGCCTGCATAGTCCAATGGCAGCAACTGCCATTTAAAATTCCTTAATCTTTTTAAAAAAATTAAAGATACTAAAAAAAGAAGTAAAAAATCATGAAGGCACTTGAAATGTGAAAATTAAAGGCTTACTTAATATTTTACAATAACTTTACTCCCTTTCCTTTTGGCTTGTAAAGGAACATGTCTCACCCAACTTGAAAACCTTTTAGCTAGTATTAAAAATAAAATTAAAATGTCCTGGAGAAAAAAAAAGTGTTAGTTGAGATTGTCTGGAACAGTTGCAATGACCTTTTACAAATAATTTAGCCTTCTTTTGTCTTCAAGGAAGTAAGGGCCTTGGCTGACATTTGTGGCAATTGTAAATAATTACAATAATAATAAAGTGCAACATGCCCACATGGTTCAGCCAATTTATTATGATAAAAGGGCAAACCACATTTAATATGGAACATTTTTGTGGTTGGTTTGTACCACACTTTAATCTGAAATGCACACGTGGGTGGATTTGGGCTACACAGCATGGCTTAAAAGTCCCCATATGCCATTCAGACTGAGACATGTCTACTACAGGGGGAGCTGGGAATGGAGAAGCCCCCCACTCTCCAGCTTCCTCATACCTAGATGCGTGCAACCAGCTGCACGCCCTTGCAGATCCTCAATGGGATCTGAGGAATTTCATCCCAGATCCCAACAACTGTGCATGCTGCCATGCCAGATTGAACACTGGGCATGGCAGGATGCTCAATTGCTAGGATTCAGGATAAAATTCCTCAGATTCCAATATGCATGCAGCATGTGCCAGGGTCCTAATAAAAACACATGCATAACCACAGATAACACAATAACAAAAGTAGAAAGTGTTGTTTATACCTCTGGTGCTGACCCTTACAATCTCACTGGAGAAAGACAGATATAGCACATAGCTTTAGCATCCAACTGGGGACCTGGTAAACTCATAACAATTTCACTGCTTAAGACACTACTTTAAATGGTCTTGCAGGTTCACAGCATTGCTTGGCTAGCTAAGCTAGCCTTTTATTAAATGGAAGTCAAAGGGAGACAGAGAAGAAATAGGGGGGGGGGGCAGAGAGGAGGGGGAAGTGACAGGAAAAAAAGGATGAAAGCATGGACTCAAGTCTGACATCCCAGATGCTGATCAAGAGGATAAAAAACGGAGGCCAGAAGAAGTGGTGGCTCTCTCATTTGGCCTGCTTTCTTTGAAGATAAGGAAATGGAAGCCTAGCAGTCTCTTACAGCCCAGAAGGCAGCAGTTTCCAGCATTACCTCAAACTCTTTATCAAGCATCTTATAAGAGGCTGGTGGTAAGAATAGCTAATTCCCTCGTTTCTCCTCCATTAATTCACCCTAATTTCTGATTAATCAATTTTGGTTCATTCTCCTTTTCTTTACTAGTGTTTTTAAAGTTTTGGAGCAGGATCTCGAAATGCGGCAAGGGTTTGGGCCAGGCCCACCCAGAAATATGCATTCACATTTGTCCAAGTTAAAAGCCTTTGAAAAAACAACCAGCTTGCACACACACAGGAGAGATTGTTTTGGCTGTTAAAAATCACAATATCTGAATAGTTTGTTCTTGCTGAACATGCTCCATCCTCTCATAACTATTCATATTGATCAAACTGCACATGAGTCTTCCCCAAAGAGCTCTTACATATGGACTGAGTACACATGCATAGTCCCAACACAATGAATGAATGAATGAATGAATGTGATGCTGCATAGGGCTTCAAATGGTTTTCCCTGTAACTATTATTTTCAGTTGCTCTGGATCAGGGTAGGGCTACCACCAGAAATAAAAAGAGGGATATTAACATCCGTCGCATCCAGAGGGGTGGGAAGGCTATAGTAGTTCATCCTGGCAAAAAAGCTGCAGCTAAGGGTAGAAGGAGGAGTAAACTGTGTGCGGGCCGGGAGCGCCCCGAGCCCTTTTTCGCGCTGTACGCGGGCTGTGGCCAGCAGCCCGGGCACGCGGGGGCGGAGAGGGAAGGCCTTCGCTCTGGAATTAGGCACGGACGCGTATCGGTAGTTTAAAAGATTGTTTACTTACACCGAGATGGCAATGGTGTAGGCTGGAAAGCTTGATTAAGTTGCAGTTACAGGAAGAGAAAAGAAAACAAAAACTCGAACCTGCAGAACACGAGGGTACGTCGCATAGGGTTCCGGCGACGAGAAAATAAACCTGCAGGACTCGAACCCGGGTAGAAGAGCTCTGAGGCCGATCGTAAGGGCTCACACGAAGTTTGTCAGGCTCCGTGGGTTCTTCCGTTCACTCATCCACACGAAGTTTGCTAGGCTCCGTGGGTTCGGTTCGTAGCGCATGGGAGGGGTACGTCTAGGAATTCTATCGGCGACGGGGAGAGGCTAGAGATTGATCAGATCTCCGTTGCCTGCTTCAAATGCACTGGGTCCGTGAGGATCCGCAGCGCTTAGAGATCTTCACACAGCGTGAAGTCTCTTCCTCCCTTGTTCGTGGAGTCCTCCAACTTGGGCGGAAACCACTCAAGCCTCTTATACGGCTAGCAAGCCAATCACTAGCCGCCACGTGTGAATAATTTAGAACTGGCCAATAATGGGACTCAAATTAGCATACCAATGGCGGGAACTCTTTGCAACGAGCATCCCCTCTCTGCAGCAAAGAAATGCACCCTGCAAAACAAGCTCTAAATTGGCGGGAAATTCTCCCTTGCACCGGGGTTCTCCTCTACAGCAGAAAACTCCACTGTGCAAGGAAGCTGCAATTTAGCGGGGACAATTTAGCAGTGCCGAAGCACGCACAAATAAAAATCACACCTTTTGGGTTGTGACAAACTGTAACAGACTGGTGAAGCAGAGAAAATTAGTATGGGGAAATTTTTGACTAGGAATTGGAGTGGAAGACAGTAAGGTAGGTAGGCAAAGCTGCTAAGGCCAGGAGATTGAAAACTAGGATAGAGAAGGCTGAGACTGAGAGCTGATGAGGGAAATAGGGCAGGGACTATCAGCCAGTTGGCTGGAGGAACATTGAAACTGATGAAACATTCAGGGAGGGAGGAGACTGGCTGCATAAGGAGACTGGGAGTAATGGAAAGGAGAGACACTTGACAAGACACTGGATTGAAGAGAACTGGAAGAGTCAGAGAAAAGAAATCAGAGCTGGGTGAAGACTCTGGAATGGATGACAAGCCCAAGAAAGAAGGAAAATCTGGAACTGTTCGCAAGAACTGAGTGTCAGAGGGTGAACGACAGAGAGAAATATTACTCAGTAACGAAACCGTTCTAGGATGAGAAGCCTGATATTTGGAAACTAGTAATGGATATGCACAGTCAGGCATGATGGGGTGGATAATACAGAGCAGAATAGCCAAATTTAGGGAAAAAGGCAAGAGTCCATGCCCATTACAGATTATCCTCGCCTCTGCCCACTCACTAAACTTGAAGGAAATACAAGGTTCTCAACTCTCAGCATTTTGCTGCTTTTAGAAAATAACTTGAGAACCAACACAATGTTTGCCTTACCCCATCTAGTATCAGTCAGAAAAGACCACAATCAGTTACTACATTACTATGGTATTCCAAGTACCATAGGATCGTGCAACACCTCTGTAGGTTCAAAACCTGTTCATGACTCTGATGGGAGTTGATATGGTGCTTTGTGATAGAATCTCTAGGTTTAAGGGAGAGAGGGGAGTTGTTTGTTTTTAATAAAAAGAAATTTAAAAACTACACTGAAAAGACACAAAATTAGGTTGCAAAAGCCATAGAACCATATAAAATAAGGGTTGGAAGGGACCTCAAGATGTCACCTAGTCCAACCCGCTGCTCAAAGCAGGACAATCCCCAACTAAATCATCCCAGCCAAGGCTTTGTCTAGCCAGGTCTTAAAAACCTCCCAGGATGAAGAGTCCACAACCTCTCTGGGTAACCTGTTCCAGTGCTTTACTAATCTCCTAGTGAGAAAGTTTTTTCCCAAAATCTAATAACCTTCCCTTGTTGCAACTTGAGACCATTGCTCCTTGTTTTGTCATCTGCCACCACTGAGAACAGTCCAGCTCCATCCTCTTTCGAACCCCTCTTCATGTAGTTGAAGACTGCTGTTAAATCCCCTTAGTCTTCTCTTCTCTAAACTAAATAAGCCCAGTTCCCTCAGTCTTTCCTCACAAGTCGTAAGCCCCAGCCCCCTCACCATTTTTTTTTCCCTGCGCTGGACCCTCTCCAATTTGTCTACATCCTTTCTGTAGTGGGGGGCCCAAACAATTCTCCAGATGTGGCCTCACCAGTCCTGAATAGAGGAGAATAATCATTTCCCTTGACCTACTGGCAATACTCCTACTGATGTAGCCCAGTATGTCATCAGCCTTCGTTGCAACAAGGGTGCACTGTTTGCTCATATTCAGCTTATTGTCCACTTTAACCCCTAGCTCCTTTTCTGCAGAACTGCTGCAGCCAGTCAGCCCCCAAGCCTGTACTGGTGGTGCATGGGATTGTTCCAACCTACATGCAGGACTCTGCACTTGTCCTTGTTGAACCTCATAAGATTCCTTTTGGCCCAACCTCCAATGTGTTTAGGTCACTGAATCCTAGCCCTACCCTCCAGTATATCTACTACTCCCCCCCAGCCTGGTATCATCTGCAAACTTTCTGAGGGTGTGCTCTATGCCATCTTCCAGGTCACTGATGAAGACATTGAGTACAACTCAATCCAGGACTGACACTGTTACATGC